TGGGTTGGTGGGCATGAGGAATAAGTTAGAGAATGTTGAAAAAGAGTTTTGGAAAATGTTTTCCATCCTTTTGAAAAGGAAAATATTTTCCTCCAATTGGAGAAAAATGAGTTGATGAAAATATTTTCCAAAACATTTAAGCCAACCAAACATGGGAAAATCAAAAAATATTTTCCGGAAAATGTTTGAACTATATAATTTCACATATTATCACACTAATTATACCTTTTTATATGTTGATTATTAACTTTCAAAAATATATATTTAAGTCGAATCCTAGTTATACTCTAATTAAAATTGATAACTAAAATTATTTTCTTTGACTTGTTATTTACTAATTAATTTTGACGCCTTAAATATTTTGAATTTTGGACTGGAAAATTTCTTTTTGATCTGGGTGGTCGAAGAAATTTTAAAAAAAATTCTAGTTGATAAGCATCCAAAGCTTTCTTTCCTATTTTGTGATGTATTTGTTTACTTTTTATGGTTTAGTCTCCATAAAACCTAATAATAAAATAATTATAACAATAATAATAATGCACAAAAATTTGATGTAAAATAAAAAAGATAAAAAGTTTGAATTAACCAATATTTTCGATGAGAAAAGTAAATAATAATCTATCTGGCTTTAACAACTCACTTTCTTGTTTATTACTATTACAGTACTACAAAAAATAAAGTTTTATGTCACAATATCTGTAGCAACCTCTTTAGTCGCCACCAAAAGTAGTATTATATGTTGTTATTGTAGTAGTGACCTACTTAACATCTATTATATGGACCATTTGTATTTCTTTAACGAGCTTAGTCGCCACAAAAGCTAATAATAAAATAACAAGGGCGGGCGCACATTCACATATCCATGCCTTGGTGAAATTTTTAGACAAAGTTTGTATAAGAAAAGTTAATATATTTGGATTCAACAACTCACTTTCACGTTTGTTACTGTTAAAGCATTAAATAAAATAAAATTTTCAGTAATAGATATGCTAGGCGACCTCCTTAGTCGCCGCCAAAAGTAATTTATAAAAGGTTTTCAATGACGACCCATATAGTCGCACCACAAGTTTATGCTATATATGTCGCCTTTCCAAGTGGAGGCCTAGCTAAAATCGTTTTGTGACGCATTATTTACTTTTTGTGGCGATTTCAATTTCTGTAGCTATCTTTTGTAGCGAATATGGCGACCAATTTAGTCGCCACCAAGAGTTATGCGATATGTCAGCGTTGAGAGAGGCAACCAGCTAAAGTCGTCTTTGTGGCGCAATATTTATATTTGTGGCGACTAAAGATTTTAGTGACGACCTACCCCGGCGCCCCTTTAGTCGCCACCAAACGTTATACTATTATGTCTCCAACCTAGCTAAAATTTATGGGTGAAATTCAAAAATAGCCAGATTTACAACTGGTCGTTTAAAAATAGCCCAATTTCAAAAGTAATCGAAATTTAGCCACTTTTCATGTAAAGATAAATATGAGCGAAAACACTGTTCAAAACCCGGAAAATACACCAGTATATTATGCTGGAGTTCCACCATAAGTATACTTGAACTCCAGGATATATTATACTGGAGTTCCAGGATAAGTATGCTGGAACTCCAATATAATATGATGAAGTTCCAGTATAAGTACACTAGAACTCCAGTATAATATACTGGAGTTCCAGCAAGCATACCGGTCCAGCATAATATACTGGAGTTTGGAGCACCGGTGCGCCAGTCTCCGTTATATTATACTGGAGCCAGCAAAGTATACCGGTCCAACATAATATGCTTGAGTTGATACACAAGTGCACCGAACTTCAGTATATTATGCTGGACCGGTCTCTGCTGCAGCAAAATAGTGGCTATTTTTCATTGACTTGGTAAACGCTGGCTATTTTTGAATGATCAATCCGAAAAATGGCTATACCGTGCTGTTTTTACAAAATTTATTTGTGCACATTGTTTACTTTTGTGGTGAGCTTAGTCGCTACAAAAGCTAATAATAGAACTATAATACTAAAGGAATATATAACATTACTTTTGGCGGCCAGAAAATCATCACTGAATACTTTAAAACTTATTTTCTGGAGTGGATACTTTAATTTTGAATCAACATTCAGAACATAGTGGGTGGGAGCTTAGTGCACCGGGCTGCCCTTTTTATCGGCGGCATTATAATATCAATCATTATAGGATTTTGAGGAAGCAATGACAAAGAAAGCAACTGGGCTAGACCACAATGTAGTTCATAAATCATACATTCTTTTTTGCCGATGAAAGAATGTTCACATCTCAAATTGGTAAATCTATTTCACTGTATATTCAAAATCAAATAATGGCTTGTTGTCTTTCAAGTTCCACCAGAAAAAGGCGCTTCACAGTTTCTGTAAACAAACTTTCAGGAGAAACTCAATTCAGATTCAAGACTACAATAACCGAGTCGAATAGCCCACCAGCAAAGCCACAATAACTGTTGTTTTTACCTTAATTTACACTGCATATACATGGTGCATTCTATGAAGTGGATAAACTGAATATGACTCCGGTACCTGTTGAAAAAACACTCACGATACGATGAAATGAGCACCAGACTCAAGACTCTGCAGAAGCTCATGGAAATAACACGCTAGCTCGATATGGAATTTTATGCAGCACTGCAGCCGCCTTCCCTTTCAAGATGATTGAGCAAGTGTCAAATCTGTGGTAGACAAAGTTCCAGACTGGTCAACATCAAGATTTTCAAACTCGTCCAACAAAAGTGAAACGTCGTCTTGGTTGATCTTCCCCATCTCCTTAAGCTTATAAACCACAAATTCAGCAGCCCTTTCACATATGAAAAGTGAAGAAAAGTTAGAATAACTTGATCTTGAAGTTAAAACACACTGGAGTAGAATATAAAACTACTCCCGCCGTCCCAATTTATGAGGAACTCTTTCCTTTTATTCTGTCACAAAAAGAATGTGATCTTTCTATATTTACAAACAATTTAACTTAAAAAAATTCATTTACCCTTAGGGATCGTTTGGTTTGAATACAAGTTATGCTAGGACTAGTTATGCTGGAATTAGTTATCCTGATATTATTTTTTATTGAATGTTTCATATGTGGTATTAATCCTGAGATTGTCAATTTTATTGCTTTATCCTGGGGTTGCTATTTCACCCTCTAGCAGGTATAAGTTATCTCATACTATTTTTAATCCTAGGATAACTCATCTCAAGATTAACAACCAAACAAGGGATAAGGCCGTACTAAATTTGTATCTAAGGATTATTTTTGCTTATCTATCATACCAAACGACCACTTAATGATATGATTTATAACCACACAAATATATAAGGCTTGTTTTGAACTACAAGTTTCAAAAGTCTTCATTTATTTTATTAAATTCCGTGCCTAGTCAAATGGTGCCACCAGATAAATTGGGATGGAGGGAGTAGTTCTTATTTGACAGACACAACAGGCTAATTATTGGTGATAGGCTTTTAAGATTTATATAACTTACCCAACAAGCCCATCATTATCAAGATCAGCTTCTTCCAAGTCTACATTTGTCATCCTTCTTGTAAGAACCAACTTCACCAGCTCCTTCCGTCTCTTTTCTGTGTTGACTTCAGCAACATAAAGGAAGAACTGAGCCAAACAAATGGTGCTAGTCAAAATCCAAAACACAGCAAAAATGCGCCCCGCTCTTGTTGAGAAGCTTTTGTCTCCATATCCTAAGGTTGTGATGGTAGAACAGACACAATAAAAGGCATCAATGGTACTTAACTTTTCTACCTTGGCAAGGAACACCGTTCCAACAACCATTAACACCACGAGAGAGACCGTTGTGACAAGGCACTTGTACCTTAATTTGTTTGTTTCAATTTCTTTTAAAATTTCACTAGGACTAACTTTACGACGCACATGCATTGCTTTGATTAATAGTGTTTCCTGCTTCTCCACTAGGTAATCTGCTCCTTCACTTAAAACCAGTCCGACAAGGGCCATCCCGGAGAAAACAAAGACGGAAGCAAGCAGTTTAGAAGTTGTACTATCCGGCACAAGGTCCCCATATCCAACAGTGGTCATTGTCACAACACAGAAGTAAAGAGAATCAAGAACTCCGTTTACTTTCTTTCCCTCGATCTGGTTCTGAACAAAGTAAAAGCACATGGTACCAATAGCCAGGTATATAACCAAGTAAAACATAACTTTTCTGAAACTTGGATGGAGTTTATCCAAAATTGAATCAGAACGTGGGAGTGATTGGTTGTCCTTTGTGTCATTTATCTCTCCAGGAAAAAATTCGGCCATAGGAGCACTTTTAAATCGGCGTAATCTTCTTCTCATTGGGGCAACATTTTGACAGGTTTGAGGTGGCAGATGTAATAAAGGCTGCTTTATGTTGCTGTCTGCCATTTCAAGCAGAATCAAGTACCTCTACAAACGCCGAAAGAAATCAAGGATAAGGATGCTGTTAGTTCAAAAATCCCAACCATTATGCTAATGCATTGTGATTTTTCAGTAGAGAAGCTCCAGTTTTAAGCCCAAAAAGGAAAACTAGCAAGATTGTAAAATATATTAAGTCAATCTTCTCACACTATTCATACACAATTGCACCTTGCTTTTCAGAAACACAACCTAGCATTTAAAGTGTGAAAGGAGTCGAAGACTGGATAGGTGCAACTTATAACGAACTCATAAGCATACTACATGCGCAAAACTATGGTTATCAGTACATAATACCACAAAACTGTAATGCAACTTGTGTTGGCATTATTAAGGCCTATGACAATGTCACATACTAGGTTACCATCTTTTTTTAAGAATTTCCAGCATAATTATCAGTTGGGTCTTCCTATGCATTACTTTGCAAACTCGCCTGGTTGCAGATTGCATATCTGCTTATGTTCTAATTCTAGGATATGGAGGTATAGTCTGGTCCACTCGATGCTAATATTGATCGCAATCTGAAGAGGTAACTGCTAGCGATGCGGCCACATGCATGCTTCTTCTTGCTAGAGATAGATGAATTTTCTAATATGTTTAGTGACTATGCTGAAAAGGCTGAGTTCAAAGGGAACTTATCTATCAAATATTTTGGAAGTCTCAAACGACTAAGCTAACTCCAAATTGTTTCAGATTTAAATGGAAAAAGGAATGGTGCATACTTAACAGCTGAAAGATATCAGCTGTCTTATACTTTTTTTTGGATAAATGAAAAATCCCCGAGGGCAATCCGGCGCACAGTTAGTAGATAATAAATACCAGGCTTTTGTCTGCGGCGGGGTTCGAACCCATGAGTGCGCCTAATACACACATCACACATTGCACTCTTACCACTAGACCAAAGTCCCGAGAGCAATATGATATGTCTTATACTATAAGAGCTTTTCTATTTAATATAGTTTCTTTTGCATCCCACAGGATCAAAAGTCAAAACCTGTGTGGCAAATGGAAGGTGTTAAGCATTCCTCCGGATAAAATTCGTTGCGAGTCAGAGTCACAAACAAATGAGGATTGTGGCTTGGGTTTATACGAGTATGAATGAAGCTAAGGTTCACTAACAACCAGTAGGTACAAGTTCAACCGAACACAGTACTTTTGACACTAAACATGGATATATATGTGAAAAGGACTAATTTCAAAATTACATAAGTTCATCAACTAAGAATTCTAAAGTCTGAACTAATCAAGTTTAAATCCTGGATCCGACTCCACAAGCAATAAATCTCATTTTATGCCAAGAAAGAAAGATTTTCATTACTAAAATCTTGTCTTTCTTGGCTTTCAGTTGGAAAACTGTTTTTGCAAAATGATTTTTTTTTTCGGGCAAAAAGTCTTATTAAACTTTTTGAACAAAACGCCAGCTAAATATAAAAACTTGAGAATTGCATTGCCAATTTGCAACATTCCTCGTCCACATATCCTTTGGCATCATAATTTATAAGCAAAGGTAAACCTAATATGTAGATTCAAAAGTCAATGGATTTAGAGTGGTTGAATTATTTATAGTACTATACATTTTTAATTTTTTTTGCAAATCCAAAAGCATTCCTCATAATGTAGATCCGCCCTCGTTCACAAATCAAAAACCTATTTATTCAGCAGTCAATTCCAGCATAATTCAGCAAAATTTTCTCATAAAGCAACGGTAAACAAAGAGGAAAAGATAAACTAAAAGAAAGATTCCTGTAGCGTCAACTGTCGATATCAGCACATATACTCTTAAGATATACTAAATAGATCTAAACAAAATAATAATTCTACAAAAATTGTTCATTAGCTTGAATTACCTAAAAAAACAGAGCAACTTACTTGTTCTACTCCAATGGAATATGCTTCTGCTTGAAATTCTGCTTCAATTACAAATTAAACTGCAAAAAAAATAGTTGTAATTATCATAAATTTGTTGTTTATTAACTGCAGCTGCATTAATTCTTCAATTTGTGATGCGTAATCGCAACTTTACAGAGTCATCTTGCTGTTACTTTCAGCTTCGTTGACAAGAATGAGAATATCTTTTTTGGCTTTTATCGTTATTCCAGTGATTGAAAATAAACTTTATTTAATTTCTCCACTGCCCTTTGCTGGGTCTTTTTTATGTTTTAAATTGACAGGTAAGCATTTCAATAAATAAAATAAAATTTTTAAAGAATAACAAGCCTCCTTTTTATAGGAGTCCGAAACTGAAATAATGCTTTTTTTGGCACAAAATATGTTTCTGAAGTTAAAAAAAAAAAGTTACATTTCTACATAGAACGCAATATGTTTCTACATTTTTACTGTGTTTTACTTTAACAGAAAGTTAGCCGTTAAAGTTAAACGCAGTATTATACTGCGTTTTATTTAAAAATTAATTTTTTAATAGGAAAACGCATTACAATACTGCATTTAAGGAAAACGCAGTATTATATTGTGTTTCCCTATAATAAAATATAGGGTAATTAATTTTTTTTATAGGAAAATGCAGTATAGTACTGCGTTTCCCTATAATAAAATATAGGGTCCCCCTTCTTCTTCTTCCCCACGACTTCTGTCTCCATTTTAAAAAAAAACGCCCACCACTGCTGCCCCCCCTTCCCCCCGCTAATTAAAAAAAAATTCTTGGGCCCCACCCGTCACACAAAAGGTGAAGAGCGTAGGTCCCGCATACATCTCAAGCCTTGGATTCCTTCTTTCGGGGTCAAAAATTCGATTTGGATCTATTTCAAAAAACTTAAATCGAGATATTTCGATTTTGTTTATGTCGAAACTCGTAGAGCATATGCATATTTGTTTTGTTGAATGTGTTTCCACGTTGATTTGTATTATGTTTGCGTTTAAATTTGTATATTATTTTTACCTGGATTGAATTATTAGCTTTGGTACAAAAAATAGTTAAAATTTGATAAATAATTTTTATTGTTAATGAAATTATCACAAATATCGTTTACTGTTTTATATGTAATTTCGTGAATATTATGTTCTTTTGTTTGTTGTTTTTATTTAGTTTAGATTATTTATTTGCTTAATAGTGGCCTTTTAGCATAGTAAAATAGAGAGCTTTTTAGCGTAATAAAATATAGAGCCTTATAGCGTAGTAAAATATAGAGCCTTATAGCGTAGTAAAATATAGAGCATTTTAGCGTAGTAAAATATAGAGCCTTTTAGTGTAGTAAAATATAGAGCTTTTTAGCGTAGAGTCTCTGGTTTAAGTATGTACTAACTACAAACTCTATCCAATTACAATTTACAAAATTAATTATTTAATTTATAAAAATAAACTTATAAAATAGTCCAATTAAATAATTAATTATTTAATTTATTAAACTAACAAAATTTTAAACTTATTGAAATTGACACACATAATAATTAAGGATAGTTTGGTGCTACTAGGTCTCAAATATCGAGCCTGGAACCCATAGATAATTACTCAGTCCAATTAAATAATTAATTATTTAATTTATAAAAATAACAAAATTTTAAACTTATTGAAATTGACACACATAAGAATTAAGGATAGCTTGGTGCTACTGGGCCTCAAATATCGATCCTGGAATCCATAAATAATTACTCAGTCCAATTAATAATTAATTATTTAATTTATTAAATGAACAAAATTTTAAACTTATTGAAATTGACACACGTAATAATTAAGGATAGCTTGGTGCTACTGAGCCTCAAATATCGAGCCTGGAACCCATAAATAATTACTCAGTCCAATTAAATAATTAATTATTTAATTATTGTTTAAATTAAATTTATTATAACACAAACACACAATTAATATTGTTTAAATTACAGTAGACGACATGGACTTGCCGCCTGTGCATCTTGGACCAGCCGAGGATCAGATATTAGTGTTACAGGGTGACCATAGGTCCTCCTATGTATGGGAGGGACATCTATTGGATCAGACTCTCCGCGCCAGGAGACCAGACGATTTGTGGGACTTCTTAAGGCAGAGACATTTCCATCCCCGCGTAGTCGAGCGCCTAGAGGCTACGGGCTTCTTACGATTTTTTGGAGTGGGCGGATGCAACTCGATTTGTCTCTCATCACAGCGTTGATAGAGCGGTGGCGACCGGAGACGCACACTTTTCACCTGCCCACTGGAGAGGCCACCATCACGCTTGAGGATGTTCAGGTTTTGTATGGGCTGCGTGTAGATGGACTGACCGTTGCACTGCCCCAGTACATGAGAGCTATGATGCGTCCCTAGTATTTGGATTTTCTAGGTCAGTATACTGGTTACATACCACAGGGTGAGGCTGTACCTAGAGGGGGCAGTCGCGTTTCTATGACAGCTATCAGAGAGCATATGGAGGTATTGCACCCCGAGATTACCGGTGAGACAGAGGCTATCCATATTGACCGTACACGAGGTTGGCGCTGCTCCTTCTTTTTGGGGGTGTCTTGTTCCCGAACACTTCGGGAAATCTAGTGAGTATGCATTTTTTGCATCATCTGCAGCTAGATGAGTTACCCCGGTATAGCTGGGGTGCTGCTATTCTAGCATACCTGTACATGAGTATGTGTCGGGCGAGCATGGGCAGCCAGGTGGACATATGTGATTTTCTGCTGCTTCTACAGGTGACAACATTTTCGAATACTCTGTTCATTACTCTGAATTCTATATGGTCAAAATGACTCTTAAATTTTACGTCAACCTTTTATCTTAGGTTTGGGCCTGGCAGTAGATCCTGCCGTTGCAGCCATCTCTACCACTACTAGAGCCGGGTGTAGCACCTCCGTTTCTCCCTCTAGCTAACGGGTGGGTTCTCCGGCGTGGGAACTACCGAGGGACTGATGCTCATTATAATCTCCCCCTTGTCAGAGATGTATTAGATATTCTGCTGGTCGGACAGGTAAATATGTACCTAAACTTGTTATAAATTCACTTGTGTTGCGCATACTCACTTTTATGTTATTATTTGATAGTCCATCTGGACGTCATACAGCGACGAGTTGCTAGCTTAGCTGCCCGATTATTACTCAGTCGACCGACTGCTTTGGAGCACTTCCGTCCCGATGATCTTCTTTGATGTGGTTGAGCATCATGCCACAGAGCGTGTGCTTCGCCAATTTCACTGTCCCCAACCTATACCGGGGGAACCTGCATGGGTGCCTACACATTATCAGCGGGATGATCGTACCAGGGTGGACGATGCATTTGTAGGATGGCTAGAGCAGCATGTCCATATTTGGGACCAGCGACAGTACCATATTCCACCACCACCTTCACATATCCAGGAGGCCACTATTAAGCTGCATACATCATGGTACCGCTGTCACACCCGACTGATGATCGGGAACCCCATTCATGTACTTGGAGATCGGTACAGACCATACGCTGGGAGGCACAAGGCACTGGTATATTTTTGTGGATTATTAATATCTTATAATTATGATATAGCATTATTTAATTAATATTTTAAATGTTGCGCAGGCTATTGGACATCACATGTTCTACCAGTTGGGACAGGAGATGCAGCAACATGGCGACAGTGCTGCAGTCATTGAGTATGGCTGGCGGGTGGAAGAGTTGGCTCGTCAGACCCTGTATCAAGCGAGAGATGGCGCGAGGTTGGATCACGAGGCTGAGTATGTGGCGCCAGAGGAGTACCATCGGGGTAGGGCTGTCCCACGAGGCAGGGGCAGGGCATGAGGGAGGGGTTCCTCACGAGGTTGCGGGGGACGGCGAGAAGGTGGTCCCCAATAAGGGGGCGTTGAGGCACTTGTCGACCCTCCTGTTAAGGCACATGATGAGTTGTACCGTTTGTGATCAGGATCTGGAAGGCTCATCTAGCACTTGGAGATGAGCATCCCTTGTCAAGTGTTTTCATTAGTTGTACTGTTTGTGTTGTGTTAGGTTTGCTATGTTTGTGTTTGTGTTGTACTGTTAAAATAAAATTGTTTTTCAAATGCAATTAAAAAAAATTGTTGCCATTAGTTACATAATGTAGTATTTACACAAAGTACAAACATAAGTAAATCAATGAGTCCCACAGCCTGTGTGCGTCAGTGTTGCTGCTGGCCTGAGTCGCATCCCCTGTCTCCCGGGTACACTATCGGGATCATCATCATCAAGTCGCCTCTTTATGTGAGGATGCGCAGTAGCATCGACAGTACAACTGGCAGGATTGGTAGAAGAGGTCGTCGGGCCGTCAGCAACCTACAAAACAAGTACTAAGCTTAGCATTTGAAAATGTATATTAGTGTTGTACGTGTTAAGTCAAAAACATTTTCTCACCGTAGTCTCGTCGGCCTCCTGAGTATATGCATCCGTGGTGGCCTCATCAGCGCATACAGTGGCCTCTGTGATAGGCTGGAACAGTGGCCTGCGTTCGTACGGTGGGTTGTCTATAGAACTTGTTCATACACTCCTAGTAGCGACGTCCAGCTTCTTCCCAACAATCGTACATCATGCTTTTGTTTCCGCAATCGCACCTTGGGACATAAAGGACATTTCTTAAAGAGAAACTTTAGTTTTATGGAAATATTTGCTATAGGTTGTTGTTAAGCGCAGAAAATAACTAGAATGCAGCCGTTATTTATAGGCAAGATTTCACATAAAATATAGTATTATATCACGCTTTACATACACACAAAACGTAGTATTATACCATGCTTTACATATTAAATTTTTTCTGAAATAAAATAGCTTTTTCACATGGTTTTCAACTTTTTCAGAACGACAAGACAACTCACAAAACGTAGTATTATACCACGCTTTGCATATTAAATTTTTCTGCAACAAAACAGATTTTTCTACAGTAGTTTCAGCTTTTTTAGAACGACAAGACAACTCACAAAACGTAGTATTATACCACGCTTTGCATATTACATTTTTTCTGGAACGCAACAGCCTTTTCACTTGGTTCGCAGCTTTTTCAAAACACAAGACAACTCACAAAACATAGTATTATACCATGCTTTGCATATAGTTTTTTTTTAATTTTTAGATTGGTCTTCTTTAGTAACACCAATAAGTTGAATATTTGAACAATTCTATGAAGAAAATACTACATTATGTAAATAATGGAAATAATTCTATTTTAA